AATCCGACAAGACGACAACGTATAAACAGGCGAGGCCCGAGCCCCCGAAAAAGACTTGGATGAAACATGGATCAAGATAAGGAAGAAGAAAGAAGTTGGTGTAGACACCAACGACTCTATGTCAGGCGCACAATGCCATCTTGGGGGAAAACCAGTGATAGAACCCCCCACACAAAAGCAATGAAACCCCGATGAACCTTTCTCAATACTGTGTCTGAATGTCTTTGTACCCGTCATACGTTGTTGTTGCGTCTTGTCTAACCGGAAGAGTTGCGCTTGAAAGCGGTCTTGACGTTCTTGAAAACGTTCTTGATGGCAGTTCGCTTGCCGGGCTTGATGGGAAGGATGGGAACAATGGGAACGACGGGCTCAGCAGGCTCGACAGACTCAATACCCTCGACAAGCTCGGCATCCTCCTCGGGAGCGCAACCTGTGTCAACTGTTAGCATGATGATCATTCAACCTTGGTGAGACTGAATACTTACGAACGCTGACGCTTCGGTAGAGGTCGGCCTCCTCGTCGAAAGAAGCTTACTAGTTGTCAGTTGTCTCGTACTGGTTTCGACAATCACTGATACTTACCGATGGAGCTAGGCTCCGAGGGGTGACGCCAGGCTCCAAAGAAGTCATCTGTATAACGGTCAACTCGACGTCCTTCAAGTTGATGAGTGCTGGGTACTTACAGGTGTCAGAGTTGGTGTTAATCCACTCCTGGATGGTCTCGACGCACTCAAGAGTGTCCATATCCGAGTCCGTATAACCGATTGAGTCCGAGCTGTTAGAATAAAAGGTGTGCCCAACCTCCTCAGAGACACCCTCAGAGACATCCTCAGAGACCTCGTCAGTGACCTCCTCAGGGACCTCCTCAGGGACCTCCTGCTTCTTCTTCTGGACCCTAGCCTTCAGACGTCGCCAAACTCGCCCAGCGGCGTTAATAGACATCTTCGCCAGGGTAGGGGTACCGAGAAGACCGAGCATGATGGATCGAAGTTCGTAGGTTTGTAGAGGTAGTTGAAGAGAGTGTTGTACCGAGAAGGTAAAGGAGTGAGTGCTCGAGAAGATTTGTGGGATCTCGAGTTTAGGAAAGGGTGAAGAGGGAAGAAGAAGGGATCACGAAGACTTCAAGTTGGAGAAAGTATTTATATGATCACATTCCCATTGATGCCATTCATCCTGTCTTGGTGTATTACACTGTCTGTCGTTTGGGGATGCCGTTTACTGTCAATGAGAGAAGGATGGTAGAGAACAATTACAAGGCCAAACGAAAGGAAACGTATATAGTTCTATTTCCATGTTGGGAATGGACTCAATGCCTTAAGAGAGCATTTCTCAAGGGAAACGATGTTTGCAGTTATCCCCCTTTTCAGTCTCGACACTCCAAGTTGGGAGGTAGTCCAAACATCCCTAAATGGTGTCGCCATTTCGAATTGGAGGAAACGGATTCGAGGTGGAATTCTATCTGACAAACGGTTTTCTCGGCTGTGAGGGCATCGACGTGCAGTGTCGAACTGCCCTTATCGGTATCTGGATGAAGTTGACACTGGCGGGACGGTTGAGACGAAAGGGGTAAGTATCAGATGCGTTTGCACGGCTGTTTAAGCAAGATCATGGTACCCACGTGGAAATACTCCGGCATGTCATCCCCATTCGATTTGATGCGAGACTCGAGGCCGTGCAGGAATGGTAGGTCATGTGGCTCGAAGTAACAACAGGATCGTTGATGGGCTGGGTCGATAGACAAGAAGGAACTGACCTTTTTCCCCATAGCTCCCTGTCGTTCTCAGTGTTTGCAATTTTGATTGCAGAGCCATGCAAGACGCACCCGGCTTAGCATCAGCATAGCATTTAATTTCAGTTGGGAATCGCTTCATTGAACTTTGGGCCACCGCAGTTATACAAATAAATAGTTACAATTTCTAGACATCTACTTGGTCCTTACACAGCTATCATGAAAAGAAAATGTGTTCCCCCTCTGATTGTTCCAAGTTCAGATCCCACAGTTTCCATCGACTCACACACTTCCGTCATCTTCAGCGCACACTCGTCCACATCTCCCTAAGCCTCTTCTCTCCCTCCTGGGATGGGTCGAAAAAGAAGAACGCACAAATTTGTATAGATGATCAACATCCTTGTTCCCTTCCTCAGAAGCGTTTCCTTGCTCATGAACACATCCACCTGTCGTCTCCTGAGTGGCTCTATTGCCGAGAACTCTGGCAAGTTGCTCCTCGAGTCGCTTGACCCGATCTTCCAGCTCCCAGTTTCGTCGTTCAAGTTCATCCTGACGTCTCTTGACTTGGGAAGAGGTGTTTGAGGTTCTGCGGAGCTTGATCATGGTTCGGGAGGGAGGTGTTCGGAACGAGGTAGGGGTCTTTGTTGGAGTTGCCAAGGTCATGGCTGCGCTTGATCCTCGGCCAGCGGAAGGGCTCAACGGGGTAGCAGGAACCGGAGTATCGAGGTCCATTGGAGTCATGAGGGTAGTCTCTGGCACGCTCTGGGTTGTTGCAGAGGGAGTCGTCGGGGTTTCAGGGGACATTGTCTCGTTTTGGTCGGCCTTGGTATGCGAGATCGAGTAGAAGTGCTTTTTGACATTGCCGCTTTGGTTATAAATGTGACCAAACCCTCTGCAGCCTCTCTTGATGCATCTCCACAATGCCTTGTCTTCGACGATTTCCATCCCCTCAAACTCGGAACTCACCCACACTTCCTCAGGGGACTCATCCGTGCAGGCCATGGCGTGCGCGAAGGGAGTTGTGGGAGTTTCGGGAGACATTGTCGCGTCTTGGTCGGCGGTAGCATGTACGGCTGAGGAAGAGTGTCTCCTGGCGTTGCATCGTTGATTGTAGACATGTCCAAACCCTTTGCAGCCTCTCTTGGTGCATCTCCACAATGTGGTGCCTTTGGCAGCTTCCATGTCCTCCAAGTCGCAGCTCAGCCATACTTCTTCTTCGGGAGGCATCGTAACGTCTTGTTCAGCCGTAATGTGCGTAGTCGAGTACGAGTGTTTTCTGGCGTGACCCCAATGAAATATGGTCTTGCCAAACCCTCCGCAGCCTTTCTTGACACATATCCACAAGCCCTTGCCTTTGACGACCTTTATGTCGTCCAAATCGCAACTCACCCAGACTTCTTCAGGGGACTCATCCGTGGAGGCCATGCCATCTACGGCCATGGTGTGTGCGATGGGGGTTTCGGGTGACATTGGCATGCCGTCGTCAGCATAATAGTGCGTCATCGAGAAGGTATGTCTTCTGGCGGCGTCCCTTCGAACCATGGTATCGCCAAACCTTCTACAACCATTCTTGACGCATCTCCACAAGGACTTGTCTCTGGTGACCTCCATGCCATCCAAATTGCAGCTCACCCACACTTCTCCAGGGGACGACTCGTCCATGGAGTCCATGTCCTCTTCGGTCGTGGCATGCCCGAAGGAGCGAGCGTGTTGCTTCATCTTTTGGGGGGTATTGAAAGTGGCACTGACCTTTGGGCATCTCTCATTCACGCATGTTCCGATGCCATGTGCATCAATAGACATCCCAGGTAGCGCAAGATCTTCTCCCTGTTCGTCGAGGACAATTGAAGAAGTCACCATCCAAGCCTTGCGGTGCTCCAACTTGTCGATGTGGTTAAAAAAGCTTTTGGCAGTTGAGAATGTCTCTCCGAACGAAAAACAGCCTGGGGCGTTGCATCTCCGGTTTCGGATGGCCTCTCGTTCGGCGACAAGGGCTGAGCCGGGCTGCATGTTCTCGAGAAGGGTCTTGCCGATGTCGGCGGCTGCGATATGAGAGGGAGCATCGGCGTGTCGAGAGTATTCAGACTTGCACCGGAAGTTGAAACCATATCGGTGACAGCAGGGCTCGTGACAGACGAAGATGTCGGAGCCGACGAGCTGAGAAGGCGAGTTGTGGTCCTGTTGATCTTGGCTCGGCGCGATAACATCTGTGTTTCCCAGGGCATCTAGAATTTCTTCAGATTCGGCATCGTTCTGGTGAGCCGCTGACTCGCGAAAGTGCTCAAGGTAGACCCTGTAGGTCTCGAAAGGCTTCCCAGCCATCTCGCACTCATCGTCGTAGCAGAACCACTCGATCACATGTCCACTATCGCGACGGTGTCTTTCGAGGGGGGGGGCAGATGCGAACACAGCCTCACACTGGCCGCAGGCATATAGGCCTTCGTGCCACCTCTTCTGATGCTTCTAGCATTCTTCAGCGGAGCGAAACACGAATCCATCGCAGCCGATGTATGGGCAGGAGAGGGTGTTGTTTTCTGCAAGGTTCGGGCAATCGGTTACATAGTAACCTTCAGGTGGGATCGTGGTCTCTTCGGTTGAAGACATGGCTGAGAGGCGAGTAGGTGGTGCGGAGGTAGTGAGAGGCTCAATGGTGAACTCTGAGCTGCCTGTCTGGAGCCTGGAGTTTGGTCAGCGAGGGAAAGCAGTAGGAACAAAGAACGGCATACCTCTGAGTGATGAAAGTAGTGTAAAAGATATTCAGGCTGTATTTCCCGAGTAACAGTGCGTGTGGTTGTGATCCGCGATCAGGAGCGAGGTCAAAGTGACGTGTTGGTGGTGATCACTTCCCCTCACCAGTCACATCAAAATTGTGCGAAGGGAGGGCTTGAGCGCAAACGGAAGACTAAGGGTAGATCCAAACAAATTCCCAAAAAATTTAGGCACAATAGTTCACGTAGATATGAGCAATAGCAGAGTTCTGCTGTGGTGTGAAGCAGAGGAGAGGAGTGACTTGTTATGCACCTTGCGTTGCCGGGTAACTTGGGTACTGTCACTAACACCAACGGGATGTCAAACACCGTAAGAAACGAATCACCGATGAATGAAAGGGAAAAAAAGATGCTCGAGTAAGATACATAAAAAGAAGATAATCTAGAGAACTACTAGTATGATCAATTCTACACTGGCTGTCGTTGTAGGTATCCCTAGTCGACATGTCCCCTGCAACGTTAGCATGGAGTCTGAGAAACGTCTCCCAGAAATAAGCTCACCATCCGGTATGGTGTAGTGGCTAACATTCCGCGCCCTTATAACCTAAGGGAATGGTACCGCGGCGACCGAGGTTCGATTCCTTGTACCGGGGTTTCTTTTTCGCCTTTCTCTCCGTCTGGAATAGACGTCGCATGCATTTGTTTGCGACGTGCCTATGGTCCGTTCCTGGTCTTTTTCTTTCTTTCTTTCTTTTGTTGTTGTGAAAGGGACCTCGTTTACTTTAAATCTCTGGTTGCCTTACCCGTACTGTTTTTATATATAGTCGACCTCTTCCGAAGACATTGCTTACTCTCAACCCACAATCGAGTCTCACCGGCACCATTGTAAAACACACTTTATTACCTAGATACAAAAGGAAGAAATAAACCAAACAAACAAAGATAGGACGGGGCTCTAAAGTCCCTGAAAATCAATCATTCAATCCCATGCTGAGTCCTCTTATGTCGCTTCAAATGGTCCGATCTGGCAAATGTCTCCTCACACAACTCACAAGGAATCTTTCTCATATCCTCCCCCCTCTTGGCCGCCTCTTCAGGATGATTCGTTTTGAGGTGCCTCGTCATATCCCTTTTGTCTAGAAATCTTTTCGGACAGAAGTCACATGGCACTGGCCTGTCGATCTTGCGTCTCTCCCTTCTGTGGGGGTTCATTAGCGATGCACTAGGTGGTTTCGAGGCGTCCTACTTTTTATCACAGGCTCGACTGCCGGGTTCTGCCTTGGCCCGACGTTTTCGGGGCTTCTTCTTGGGGGGAGAAGCGTTGGTAGGTGTTGGTGTCGGACCAAGGCTCGGCGGGAGCAGTTGCTCCCTCGGGCTAAAGTTCGTAGATAATGGCGAAGTGCTATACGCTGGAGAAAAGACGGGCGACTGTTCGGAGACGCTCGAAGAATTCAGCGTAGCACTTGGTGAGTCTTCAGTTAGTGTTGGCATCATGTCTGGATACCCGTTCTGGTGTAGTGTATAGTAGTCAATGTCTGGGATTTGGATCGGAAGAGTGTTAAAGTTGAACAAGAGTGGATCGTTTGGATCAGGAATAGGAGCGTTCAACCAGTCCGTTTCTTCAGGAATATGCATTCCTAGCGGTGTGTCGGCAAAATTTGCGTCATTCACGGGGCTGTTTGTGTCTAAGAGTAGGCTTTCCGTCATGAGTGTAAACTCGAGTTCGCGGATTTCGTCGTTGAGGAGCGACTCGTAGTCTGCTTCGAGATCGTCCATCCTGGGTTTGCGTTTGAGGACGAGAAGACTCGTCAAGTTGCGTAGTGTGTTTGTTGAATTGTGGGTTTGGGCTTTGTTGATTCAATTGATGTTGCTATCCGGGTTGGGGGAATCACAACAGGACACCTTTTATTGACGCTATCCGGGTCCATCAATCTGGCTGTAGTCTAGAGTTAGCTATACATCACTTTGAAGGGCTAGGGGAATTGTGGTATACCAGAGACGCAGGGAACCAGCGTCGGACAATCCATGGTTGCTCATCTTCGCTCACGGCTCGTTGATCTTGTACCGCAGGGCACTTGTCAACGCGAAACTTTAGCCCGTGTTCTTGATCCTGTACAAGGCATCTGTCGCTGACTATAGTATGCAACAACCTTCGTACAGGATCAAAAACATTGGTCAAAGTGCCACAGTTGACAAATACCCTGATGCATCTCGACATTTGTTGGCCTATTTGCAAGACTGTTAGACAAACGTTGGTCATCTTCATTCCGAGACTCACGGTGGCTCTGGACGTGCAAACTCTCACTAGACCTCCCCAATCTCTAACCGCCAGCGGTAGATAAAGGGATTTCGGTGGTGTTATTGCTTTATGGTTGTTATGGTTATAAGTTGCTAACACCACCGGAGACAGCTCCAGCCTTCGAACTCCTCGCACTCTCATTCGTGGGGACTCCAACCTCTCACCCTATCATCGCTGCACGAATGAGGTACGCGCGGATGATGTCGAAGGCTAGAGCTGCCTCCGGTGGTGTTAGGGGTGAGAGGTGGTGGTGGTGTGTGGACCTGATCCCCCCCTCTGGCTCGCAGAGGGGGGGATTAGGTCCTGGATTAAGTATGTAAAAGAGTGAAGAAGGATAAGAGTAAGACAAGAATTGAAGAGTAGTACAGAAATGAAAGACAAAGGAAACAAAGGAATGTGTGTGTGTTTTGGAAGGTTTGTGAGTAGGTAGGTATTGTAGATGAAGAAGAAAAAAAGGTCATGATCGTTCGTGCGACAGCCCATGGCATTTATCCATTTGCAGAGAGGCCGGTAACGAAAAAAAGCTTGGGGGCCATTTGCCAAGAGGAGAAATGCAGTGTTAAGAAAAATCACGTCGTGATTGGCACATTCAGATGCCCTTCTGCATATCGGCTCATGAGCTGGCCCAACGTTACTGGCGTCCGGCCTCCTCAGCCTGATCTGTCGTTTCTGCTGCAGATGTGACCAAGATGGTGTGAAAGATGAACATATTTCTTTTCGAAATGTTTCTATGGGCTTCAGAACTTGGACTTCTCATCATCTACATGAGTTAGATTGCCTATGATTGCAGAATGTCGTCCGCCAACAAAGAATACCAGCACTTCATCCCCCAATTCCTCCTGAAGAACTACTCTCACCCATTCATTTGCCCACAAGCGAAAGGTCCTTCCAAGAAGTGCAAGAAACACAAGCATGAGAAGGGAAAATACCCAGGCGACCCTGTCGTCAACAACCTCTGCCTGACGTCCGAACCCTACACACTGAAGGAGACGCCAGTGACTCGTGTGTTTGGGCAGCTGGACATGTACGAGGACATGATAAAGTCGCCGGACAAGAAACATCGTCGCATTGAGGGGATGCTTGGAAAGATGGAGCTTGAGGCTAGTAGGATCTTTCGCAGGATTACTACGGCCTATGGAAAGGGGCAGCCAGATGTATGGCTGACACGGACCGAGCGAAATCTTCTGCGCAAGTTCCTTTTCATACTCAAGTACCGCGGCTCAGGCTTTCACAGACGGTTCTACCACGGGGACATGGAGAGCTACAATTCCAACGACAAGGAACTGCTTCAAGACTACATGGAAAAGCACGGCTTTGAGAGTCCTCTCGATGTCTGGTTCCACAATCTCGAGGCTATCATGACGCTTGAGATGGACGCAGAGATGAAGTGGATAGAGGATCTCAAGAAACGCATGTTTCCTAGCGATGCGATGTGGTTCATGGTGCACGTCCAGTGTAGCTACATGGCCATCTGCACTCCTGCCAACCCAGACGAGGAGTTCATCCTCTCGGACAATACATACAACATCTTTGAGGGCCCCAACACCTTTATTGAGGATGCAGACACAGGGGAGCGGGCTGGTTCCGCCCACGCCCCCTTCCACGAGTTCGCACCCATCTCTCCACGTCTCATCCTGGTACTGAGGTCTCTTGCTCTCCCAGTGCCTGAAGAGGACAGGATACAGAGCGTACGGGAACAGCGTCACTTTATGCGAAAGGCGGCCTTTGACGATGTCTACGGAGCTGGGGTAAAGTCCATGCTTCATGATCTACCCGTCAAAAAGGCGACAAACAGCTACAGCGAGATTATCGGTGGTGTCCCAGTACGCAAGCCTGGTCGCAGCAAGGGACGTAGCAAGGATGACCGCTTCTGTTTCAGATTCTTCCCACTCAAGACTACGCACGTCCAAAAGATCAACGGAGTCTTTCTAGACAATTGTTACATGAGCTCCAACATTGTGTTTGGATCGCAGGAGGTCTTTCTCAAAACTCTGGACTGGTGGCTGACTGAACCTTGCATCACCGGCAAGATATCCATGGGAGAGTTTGAGCAGGTTCATCTGAAGTACCTCAAGAGCTTGGAGAATTTCATGAAAGCTAGGGGATGGGAGAAGGAGCTTGTGCATATGCGGAAGCCGACTCCGAGGGTACATGATATGGAGGGTTACCGACTTCGAGCGCTCGAGTTCCGACGATTCATGGAGCGTATAGAAGAGGGGAAAGAATTCGGCAATTCTGCCTTTCCAGAAGAAATGAAGCCTTATGAAGAGTTAGGTAATGTGTTCTCTCCCAAGTCCTCCCGGGTTTCGACACTAACATGTAGTCATAGGAGGATCGTGGGGGACGGTATTCTACGACATGCACCAGTCCAGCCTCATGCTCAAGCTACGTATAAAGATTGATGCCTGGAGTCATGGAGTCGATGAGAGCATCAGAAGACGGAATCGTATTTTGCTGGTGGAAGAGTACATGAATCTGCCCTGTCGTAGGTTCTGGCTGTACCTGAGGCAATGTCGGTTTATGGTCATGACAGATGGGAACCCTGGATTGTTTGAGGACGCATTGAGCTCTTTCCAGGGTGGTATGGAAGATGAACTCACTTGTTGTAAGTTTGTTTAATATCCTAGTAGGATTGGTGACTAACTATGTATCGGCAGTTTATGGGTCTATGCCATCAGCGGCTGTGAATCGCTACATGTACGAGGCCTTTATGATGGAGGAGAACGAGGGAGCTCGTGAGATGCAACGACATTTGAGATCTCTACTTGAGCAACTACGACCAGAGTAAAGGTGAGAAGTGGTGATGGATTCAGGGGTAAAAATGTGATCGATGGAGGGACGGGGAGGTTGTCACTGTAACGTCACAGAGCTAAGCAGCAGCAATTCAATGTTCTTATCAAGTTACATTTCTATCTAGGTTGGAATTCTCCCACTTTAACTATGTCTCTTGCTATCTTGTCTGAATGATCTCCTCCTTTTGGTGGTAGGTAAGTGTTGAAGCCCGGCCCTTAATCGTACCACCGCGTCGATTGGATGATAAGTAAGAATTCCAGTTTGAAGATGGCCTTCATTGCGTTGAACCAGCGGGCATCATGCCCAGGAAAACAAATTCCCAAAATCGTACAACCTGGTCATGTGTTCGGGTGGTTGTGAATGATAAGGAGAAGTTTGTACAGTGCCAAAAAAAGCCGCATCATATGCTGGGTGTACTGTGATGCACTCCTGCTCTTAACAGTCCCCAACAAGACGACAGAAGATGACGTCACCTTTGTGGACTTGGTGCACGCTCGTCGAAGAAGTTGTATGAAAAGGAAGACATGCTGGTGTATCGACGAATGGTTCAGTCCGAAAGTC